CCATAGGGGTAGGATAGACCATGTATGCGTGGATTCATAATTTTACATATACACATCGCCTAGCAGCAGCTACATGCATACGAAATTCCGAAGTCCTGCTATGTAACAACATTAAGCCATATGCATTGCCTGCTTCAGCTGAAGCAGCTGCAGCTTCCAAACAATCTGCAGCTTCCAAACAGCACCAAACATTTCCACAACAGCGGCTGCTGCAGCTGCAGCTCATCGATCTGTCAACAATTTGCCTTAAAACATGCTACATTATAGCTCAGAAGCGCTCTATCCACCCTAACACTTTCTGGTATTCATGCCTAGAAGTAGTCCTCCATCACCGTCAGTTAACACTCCAAGACATTGCTGCAGCAGCAGTCCTCCACAAGCAGCTTGTGAGCCTGTATGCAGCAAAGATCAGGCAGGGGCATACAATAGCACCTTTGTCAGACCATCAAGAACTGCAATGACTGTGATGTGGAACTTAGAATGCAGTTTTATGCCACACACCTTACTACTGCTTTAACCCTCCACTGACTCTGCGTGCTGATGTGTGGTGGGGAAAGCATGTGGTGTTGTCCACAGCAGCTGCAGGTTGCTGGGTGGGCCCTGTAGACAGACAAACATGCCCATCAGAAGTTAAATACACCAAACCCTGTATAGGAGACTCCATACAGAATATATGCAGCAAGAGGTAATTTGACACAAAATCCAAAAACTGCAGTTGCCCTTGTTTGCTTGCACATTAATGACAATTACCCCCCCCCTCAAAATCAGAGTGATGAACATAACTGTGTAGATACCTGTAGTCACAGCTATCACCTCCCAAGCAGAAAAAGCATGCCCGGGAATCGAACTCAGGTCGGAATTAGGATACTTGCCTACAACCAACCCATTCTATCATGACTTCCCTAGTCTTATTCCCAAGTCTTATTTCCGTGTATCAGCTAGTAACCAACATACTTCCTCAACGGCTTCTTCCTGTTTAAACCTGGGTAGTTGCCTTAATCAACCTGTTACATCATGATTTCCCCCAGAGAACAACTCACCAGTGGTCACTATTCACGTGTCATGCCCCGTGATATGAGCCAGTAGCCAACATATGCCTCCATCCTCAATGGCTTCCAAACCGGCACCCATATCTCAGGCAGAGCGGCATCATGCTTATGTCACCTTTCTTCATCGTAGGCAGAGCTTTGGTGGATGATGCCGTCTGCAGCTCCCGTTTCTCGCTTCTGTACACATGCCTGCTGAAGCAAGTTTACCATATGGGGTTGCAACCCCCTCATTTGAGTCCTGCAGATCATGCAAGCAAGCAGTTGCAATGTCTAGCACGCAAGCCCAATTTTACTACTTCTCATGAGACAACATCATACTTTGGGTTGTTGCTTGGGTTTGGTGCTGCCCAGGTGTGCAGCCATGGCATGAGGAGCGTGGTCGCGATGGTGAAGTCCTTTGTTGCCAAGTTGCCATAGAACTCGGCAAAGTCGTCATATTCCATTCCACTGACGGCCAGGAATTCCTCAAACGCTTTGGTGGCCTTATCACCAGCAGCACTGCAAACGTTGCTGGGCACGTTTAAAATGTACCGCTCATCTAATGAACAAGTGCAATGGCTGATGATGCCACTCACTTGTCATTCGTTGGCTGCATCATAGCTGCAGCTGGACCTCGTGCATCCTGCGCCTATTGTCCGACGGCTGCGTGGGCTGCATCCCAAATCCACCCACAAAATCATCATTGGCTTCCATTGTGATATTCCTCTTAAGCATCTTTAGAGATTTGACCTATGAGGTTAACCGATGATTAAACGGGGATTCCGGACCGGCTCCGGTCATCGCCGGACCGGCTGCCGGACCAAAATAACCAGCTTCCAGTCCGACTGTGCAAGCGCCTCATTCACTTGGCACCAAATACATTTTCTATTATTTTAGTCAATACAATTTTTTTTATTTTCTGACGGACATCTTGATTTCGTGGACGAGCTCCATTAAGCCTCCCGTTCGCTCAACCGTTCCATCTAGCCTTCCATGAAGCCTGATTCCCAGCTCTAAAATTATCAGTCTTTGATATTGCTCATATACCTAACGTAGATATCATATAGCTGCGCGCAATGGAGCAGATGTATGACAATGCGCGCCATGGCGGCAATCTCGTATGGGTCGCGGCTGCAGGGCAGGAGGTCGAGGATGCAGTGGAGCATGCAGTAGAGGAGCCGCCTCAGTAAGCTTACTTCATCCTACTGTGCCTTGGTTTCATGGTGGATGGCGTTACTTCCTTGAGCTGGAGGCTATTGTCACCCCTGTGCACCCTGAGATGTACAAATCTCCTGTAAAGGCAGAGCAAAAGGTGACTCTCCGAAGAGTTCTGGCTAGCGGGGCTGGGGAGGCGGCAGCAGCGGTGCAGAGTGGTGGAACGGGTGGCGGGGCTGGGGAGGCGGCAGCGGCGGTACAGACTAGGTGGAACAGGCAGCAGGGCTGGGGGGGAGGCGGCAGCAGCGGTGCAGAGTGATGGAACGGGTGGCGGGGCTGGGGAGGCGGCAGCGGCGGTACAGACTAGGTGGAACGGGTGGCGGGGCTGGGGAGGCGGCAGCTGTGATGCAGACAGACGGAACGGGCAGCAGGGCTGGGGAGGCTGGGCGACATAAGAAGCAGCGTACCAATGGTGCTTCTAGATCCAATTGCGGCAAGGGTGCGCAGGTTCCAAATGCTTACATGCTGTTCTGCAAGGAGCAGCATGAGTTGGCAACTTCTCAGGGCACCACCATTCATGTGAAGTATGGGGTGCCATCGGCAGGCATCTCCGGCCTGCTGGGCAAGCTGTGGTCGGAGTTGCCCCTGGCGGAGAAAAGTGCATACAGTGAGAAGCATGCCGCACTTAAGGCGGCTAAGGACAGCTTCGATACCTGAGGCCAGACCCTTGCCTTTCTGTTGCACAATGTGTCAGCAATCATGCTTGGTGCGGTCGGGAGATTAGGTAACGTGGGGCTGACAGCTGGGTGGGGAGAAATCCGGGGTGATGTGCTGGGTGCGGGTTCCGTGGTGGATGTGCGGACCAGCGCAGGGTACACAGATCAAGTTCACCGAACAACCTGTCAGCCGACAGACTTGGTGTCGTATCCAAAAGCCTAAACACACCATTCTGCCCGACTACTGCAACCCCAATGTCGACAAGCATGCAAAAGGTCCTGATTCCTCAGCACTAGCTTCCACCGTCGCACGCTAGACCGGTTCGCGAGCAGCCCACACCGTCGGCGCTGCAGCTGCCCACAACAGACTTCCATGCCCCGTCGGCGTCGGTGGTGAAGCCACCCGCATCAGACCGGCATGCCCCGTCGGCACCAGAGCCGCAGGCAGAACTTCATCGTTTTCATCATTACTTTCAGGTCTTAGGTGTTATCATTACCAAAATTTTATCGAACTTCATTGTTACTTGAGGTCTTAGGTGTTACGGACTGTGAGGGTGTTCCACTTCCAACTTCAATTTAAAGGAAACAGAAAATATAAATTTGCTCATTTCATTTTTCATTTGCGCGTACATGTGTGTGTGTCTCCATGTGTCTCAAAGCAACCCAAACATAGCGAAGACCGGTCGCGCGCGTCGGCCTGACAGCTCAAAACGCTGGCTATGGTCATACTTTATCACTAGGACATGATTGGGGGCGTCGAGCAACACCTTTTCGGTCCAAATTCGGCGGGTCCGGTTCCGGTCCAGTGGCCGGTCGCAAAGGCTGTCGTACCCGGTCCGGCTGGCGGGGCTAACCATAGTTAGAGAGTAGGGTCGGGCTGGAGCCAACTATAGCACAGCCAGAGACTCTTGATCCTGAGTAAGGTAATTATTACAAAGACGATAACACTTGTTAGTTTGATGCTGCAATGAGTGGCAATGCACAATGAGACAGGTACAGATCCTGCCTGTGGGTCGCCGCTGTACTGCCAAGAGATTGGCTGGCGCTAATGAAAGGCACCAACGGCGAATATATTTGAGGTGGAACCATTCTGTTTATTCATGCAAGCAGCTAACCGCGGTCTATGTGAGCGAGGTAGTTCGACTGTGCAAGCATGGCAGTCCAGCAGCCAAGCTGGCTAAGTCGTATTCATTTCTTTAACTTTATGTCCGTGTATATTTTGCATTTTTGTGTTATGTTGTGTTCATTGTTCATTTCTTCTCTTCCGTCAGCGGTTGCTCCAGATCCGTGGTCAAGGTTGGATATTACTTGTGCTGGGCTAAATAGCATCAAGTTCAAATCCTTTCCAGACTGCTTATGCACACAGTCGCTTGACTACTTTCGCTGTACATTCGAAAATGGGAAGTCCATTTGCTTCCAGAGGGGATTTCCACGTTTAAATTGGCTTGATTCCTACAGAATTAGGATAATGGCTTCTTATGACTGGATAGTTCGATGTAAACAGCTTTCTCCGGCTCCCTAAGGGAGTGCCATGCACTTTCCGGTCCACTATGAAGGGTCGAACTTCACCTGGCTATACATTCAAAATTGAGAAGTCCATTTGTTTTCGTTGGGAGCTTGTGTTACTAGGAGCATGAGAGCCTGGGGGTGTGGGAGCCTGAGGGCCTGGGAGCCTGGGGGACCTGGGAGCCTGGGGGCCTGGGAGCTTGGGAGCTTGTTAGGCTGGGGGCCTGGGAGCTTGGGAGCTTGTTAGGCTGGGGTCCTGGGAGCCTGGGAGTTTGGGAACCTGGAAGCCTGGGGAGCCTGGGAGCCTGGGAGCCTGGGAGCTTGGGAGTCTGGGGGCCTGGGGGCCTGGGAGCCTGGGGGCCTGGGGGCCTGGGAGCCTGGGGGCCTGGGAGCTTGGGAGCCTGGGGGCCTGGAAGCCTGGGGACCTGGGAGCCTGGGGTCCTGGGAGCCTGGGGACCTGGGAGCCTGAAAGCTTGGGAGCCTGGGGGCCTGGGAGCTTGGGAGCCTGGGGGCCTGGGAGCCTGGGAGCTTGGGAGCCTGGGGGCCTGGGGGCCTGAGAGCCTGGGAGCCTGGGGGCCTGGGAGCCTGGGGACCTGGGAACCTGGGAGCCTGGGAGCTTGGGAGCCTGGGGGCCTGGGAGCCTGGGAGCCTGGGGGCCTGGGAGCCTGGGGGCCTGAAAGCCCGGGGGCCTGGGAGCCCAGGGTCCTGGGAGCCTGGGAGCTTGGGGACCTGGGGGCCTGGGTACCTGGGGGCCTCGGATCTTGGGAGCCTGGGGGCCTGGGAGCCTGGGAGCTTGGGAGCCTGGGAGCCTGGGGGCCTGGGAGCCTGGAG